TGAGAAACTTAAATCACCAGAATGCGAACCATGGTGGAAAACTGCACTTACTATTAGTTACCTCAAAGTCGCTGCACACAAACATCCAAAGTTTAGATGTTTGGTTCTTCATAGTTTATATGATAGTAGTTAAAGTTAGAATATTGAAATAAAAATCATAATCGTGGTACTCAATTCATTCTCAAGCAAGTTAAAGTTTATCTCGAACAAATTTAACGCGACTACAATACACACACGACTGAAAATAATGCAACGATTTAATAACAAGTAACTGGCAAGAAAAGTGTTACGTATAACATAAATTCATGGCTGTTGTACGTATCGAATAATTTTTTCAAAATTGATATTATAATTGGTAATAATATACCGAACATATTATAGCATACGTATAAAATCATGATTCCAAAATAACTAATGTTTTAACATGAATTCCAATAACACAAATAAACTTATCAGTTATTATTTAATTTTAATAACGGATTTTTATTTGTTACATAAAGTTTGATAAATGCAAATTTGTTTATCTTGTTATGTACTTTAAATGTCAAGAGAATATCAGATATTACTAAGGTTTTTACTATCTATAATCGCTAATTAATAATTTCACTATTTCATCTTACACTATATTTGTAATTAGACTTGAAAAAATATAACAATCGTTTGTTAGAAATGGGTTTTACTAACTGTTTCACATTGTAAATATATTCTTTTAAAAACTTCAACATACATATTGTCAAAAACAAAAAAAAAAAAACCATACAGCACAAATTTAATTAATATTTTATATATTTTATTTATTTATTCATTTATTCAAATAATAATGATAATAATGATAATAAAAATTATAAAAATAAAATAAAGTAAAAAATAAAAATATAATCCTATATATAAAAAAATATAAATCCTAAATATAAAAATGTAAAGAACCTAAATGTCATGATATTTATTATCCACAGCCTTGACCAAAATATTCATCAACCAAGAAACGAGCGGCGCGTTTAGCACGTTGCAACACATCATTTTTATCACTATGTGTGACATTTTTGGCAAATAATCTCTCAACTTCTTCTTCCGCAAATGCAAGAATTCTTTCTCGTGCTTGAGCTTTATCAACCTCTTCCTTAGCTGCATCAAGAGTTTGTTTAAGTTTACGGTTAGCTGTGCATGCGGCACCAACAACAATTAATTCAGAATTGAGATATGCATCTTTAGGTGAACGTATTACACCATCAGACCCATAACGAGTGGGACTTATATCTACTGACTTGGATGTTTGTGCTTCGTTGGAATTATTAAGAAGATCAAAGCCTAGTTCAAACAAGTATTGCTCACACGCTGAGAATAATTCTTTCTCCAATTCAGGATCATTTATTTGGTTAGTCACCCAATTTGTGGCACGTTCGTGTGCAGGTTTCCACTCAGATTCATAATTATTTAACACTATATTAAGGTATGTGATCGTAAATGCTGTATTCCAAACGGAGGCATCACACCCTCTTAAACGA